CTCGTAATATAGGCAGAAAGACATTACCGACAAAGACAACAGAGACTGGAATGACCATTTCTGGCTTCTCAGCCGTCATCAGCCAGCCAGCCATATCCAACTTCAGGTGGTCGTTACCCGAGGCCGGGTCGCGGGGTTCACCCCCCTGATGACGACCACCTGAAGTTGAGTATGGCTGGGTGGTGACGGCTAAGAAGCTAGAATTGGTCATTGGAGTCTCCCTTGTCTTTGTCGGTAATGTATTTCTGTCTATAATATGCTAGCCGTTGTGCGGTTGTTAACGGCCTCGACAGAGAGAGCCCCAACGGCGCAACGGAGCGAGTGATTTCCGTGGCCGATCGGTGAGCGCTCATCTACCAATTGTCTCGTAAATTTCAACCAAAGACATAACTGGCACCTGAATATAATGGCTTCAAAACAAGCGGTGTTAGGAGGAGCCTAACAGGCAGATAACATGCAGGAAGCAGCCAAGTTCATAGCAGGCTATCGATCGGCCTACACGAGGCGAACGCATACTGGCTGTCAATCAATCGCTAATTTAAAATTCAAGCTACAGTCAGCCGTTGAGTCACCAGCCAATCGTGACACTACCCACGCCAGGACAGAAGCTGATTGGCTCGATGAACATCGTATTACACGTGTTTGTTTCCCTAAATATGTTGTACTAGTTACACTCAAAGACTTCTGCTTTTGTCCACTTCTTGTCGTGTTCTAGTTTGGGGGCTCACACAAGACGTAATTAGGCGGTGAAATCTCGGCCTTGGCTACCGTTACAACAATCAGTTTCACATTTACTCTGTTATAATCACTAAGATGGTCAAAAGAGGGTTAATGAGGGATATTATTCAGATGCAAACCTTTTCCTACTGTTATTTTACTGATAACAGATTACGGTCTGGTTGGAGGTAGAAGAGCGTGTGCAAGACTGAGTGAACAAGTTTTTTTTACAACAAACCTCAAAGAGACTATGTGAAGAGGATCTGGCTGTACGTAGAAGGTAAGAACGAGGCGGCAGAATTCAATAACTTCATCCGCAGTAACCATCGTCCAGGAGACATGTTGAGCGATGTGGCAAGCCAAGGCGATTTTTCCTACAGGAGACAAACGGAGGACGTTTGAAAGACCCGATGTAAGTAATTGAGCGTAATGCTAACTAGAAAACGTATTCCGGAAACAGCCTTTAAAGATCGCATTAGTCATACTCACGTACAATCATGTACTTTAAAGAAGATCCAAAAGCAGAAAAAAACAGAAAATTTAGGATTAATGTCAGCGTCCAGCACAGAAAGAGGTTCAGGAGAAAGACGCACAGATATATGGAAAAAGTGTACCAACTGCCTGGCTCAATTCACAAAGGGCAGGATACGAACTTTGGTGGCGATGAAGTCGCACGGCACGGTGTTTGAACAGACATCAGTGTAATGTTCACTCCTTTTTTTGATTGGCTGCCCCCCTGTGAAACGAGTTTATTGACAGTCATAGTGATCTGACTGCGTAAAGCAATTTGTGAAACGAAAAACTGCTTCGTTAGATGCATGGACAGAAGGGGTAAAAAAGGCGCGCTTACCCGAATTAACCTTCTGCGAGGGTAGCGGCGGATCAAACTGTCGTAGGAGTTGGAGGAGAAAGGAGAACTTGAGGTCGCTTTCCTGCTCCCTCGCCTTTGCCCAATCGGCTTCTCTCGGGCAGTGGAAACAACAACAAGTCAGTTTGAGGTCGTTGCATAGAGGGGCGACCCATGCAAAGCAGGTTGTGAGACGAGCCAACTCCAGGATGCTTAGGACGTTGCGCTCAAATTCAGGAGCATTAGCCTTCGGTAGAGATCTGTAGGAGTGACGAGCGTGTGTGTGATAAGTCAGTGGTAAATCAATGATACGTTTGCTTAGGCAGGCAGTAGTTACGTAAAACTGCAAAATGAACGGACAACCGTAGGTCTCGGTCGACGAAAACAGTATATAGCCGCTTACCTAATCAGAATTCTGAGGAACTCGGTAAGTGGACCAGCAACAAGCCGACGAGCTTTCACGGTAGTAAGCCCCGGCGGCGAAGCCATGGAGAGGGGCTTCAACCAGTGGCCAAGCACGCCCAGCTGACAGATGGCCGAGGCCGCATCCGCAAAAACATCCAGGGCAAAATTCAAAGAATTGGAATTGCAGAAGGTAGAAAGAAGAACGGCAATCCGCAAACCAATACCCAACAGACAGTGTTGTTGCACAGAGTTCGGTGGCAGTTGTTTCTGAATGACGGTAAAAAAAAAATATTCGCCATTATCACTAATAGTGGGTGAAGAAAAGATGTTTAAGAGGTTACTACGGTCAACTGCTTACATTAATGGCAGTTAGTAGGTCTGTCAAAGACTTTACTTCCGTTCTGTCCAAGTCAAGCACAATGGATTCGTCTGAAGTAAAAGGGACAGAAAAAATTAGAGACCGTTTGTTTAAAAAAAATCTAGCATCGTGAAAACATGCAGATCAATGACAGAAAGATATAACAATCATAACCTAGAGCAGCCTCCAAGAGGGCAGCTAGGGTTCGCAGCTGAAAAAGGAGGTTCAGCTCGTGCATTTGAGGATGGACGAGGGCGCGAAACAGTTGCGGCAATAGGAGTCCGGGCAACGAAGAAACAGCATCACAATGTCTGTAATGAAAATGAGAGCATGAAGGCAAGCGAGAAAATAATATGACGTGGACATCCTAAATCACAGACTGCTCATACATTTTTATGTAGTCTCTTAAAGAAAGCAACAGAAATGTTGCGTTTAGATGGCTAAACCCTGACTCGCTTAAGAGTTCTCTAGGGGGTCCATTGCCGAGGGCGCAAAACTCATTAATTTAGATTTGGTTGTGCAACAATTTAGTCAGTAAACTGTTAATTTGGATGATAAGAAAAAATACGGTCCCATAGTGTGAAGGTAAATCTAACAGCCCCTATTTTGGACTTACCTGTCATCCTCAAAGTGACTTCACTAAGCCTTGTGCAGTATATCTAGAGGCAACACAATAATCTAGCTTCACAGGGTACTGAAAGAATCATCAATAATAGCTGTGTTATTTCCGGCCGAACAAGTTTGGAATTCTTCAAATTTCTTCTCCTACGAGACTCCCGTCCGACCTACAAAATGCTTGTTTAGACTCTTCCGAAGGCTGTCCCCCTGCTCCCTAGAACGCTGGCCGCTCTCCCTCACTCAAA